TTAGTAATTTTTTTATATCCACAGGTAGGTACTTAATTACATAATGGCAGCTGCAACAAGAAGTTCTGCTGAAGTTTGGCTTGTCGGCAAGGTCACCAACAAATTCTTTTCAGCAAGATTGGCTACGCTTGATGATGCCATCCGCTGCCTCTTTTACCACCTTGAAGAACACCTCACTGTCAGGACAGTATTATTCACATATTTGAAGATATCAATATGATTTGGAGCGAATCAATAATTTCAACTCAGAGGATTGATTCTGGTGAAAGAAAACTAAAGAAGTTGTATGGTGAATATCAACTGTTGAAAGTGAGTAGGACGAAAGCATATGAAAGCTGCAGATTTAAAGAGCAAATGTTCAAAGATGACCTGATGAAACTTTTTGACTTGACCACAAAGAATGCTTTCCACATCATGACGAGCAATGAAAGACAGATATTTCCTAATAATGCAGAGAGAAGATGTCACCAGTTCAAGCATGACTGGAGTGGATTGCAATCTTGCAGACAAAGAAGAAAGCTCATATAGAAGCTAATGAAATTGAAGACTGAAAGAGACAGAAAAGTTGCACCAAATAGAAACATCTGGTCCTGCTTTGGATATCTTCTTCTTCTAAGTCTGAAGACATGGACAAAGTCGACGATAAAGACTTTAGAGTTCCATCATCATCATCTGCTCAAACTCCTTCTTCAAAGCCTAAATGACTAAAAAGCGTGATAGCAACTCTAAAAGTTGCAGGGGTTTTAAATAGAGTAAATTTTCCTGATCGTGGAGCTATGTATGTTGTTGCATCATTAGCAAAGGCTTTAGGCCATCCTCTTGACGACTGGACACTGTCTAGGAGCACCATTAAAAGGTCACAGATGGCTACCTGAAAAAAAGTAGTTGAAGCATAGAAGAGTTCCTTTCCAACCGAATTTCCTCTTCTTCTCCATTGGGATGGGAAACTGCTTCCAGACATAGCTGGTGCAAAAGAAAACGTTGATCAAATTGCTGTGATCGTCACTGGGAATGGTATCGAGAAGTTGCTAAAAGTCCCAAAAATTGTAGGAGGAACTGGGGAAGAACAGGCTGCTGCATGCCTAAAAGTACTAGATGACTGGAATCTATGAAAAAGTTCAAGGTTTGGTATTTAATACAACTTCCTCCAACACAGCCATCCATCGAGGGGCATAGATTCTTATTGGGGAAGCCGTTGGCCATGAATTTGTAAACATTGGATATCGTCATCATATCCTGAAAGTTGTTCTGAGCAGTGTTTTCACAGCTGTTTTTGGTAAGACGGGTGGACCAAATGTTGGTCTTTTTAAGAGGTTTCAGAAGAAATGGCCATACATCAGATAAACAGTATTCGCCAGCTAGAGACGAAATCTTCAATGAGGATACCCAAACTCTTCAGATGGAGATAGTTGTCTACTACACCAAAGCCATAGGACATCAGCAGCTTCGAGAGGATTACCTCGAGCTCCTTCAGCTATTCCTGTCATGTATATGACATTTGATGGGGCATTACTTATATTTCATACTTTTGAAATCAGTATTATAACAATTTTTCATTTAAAATTTTAAATATTAAAATATGAAAATATCAAATGAAATTTTTACCCTTTTGACCGTATAGACTGTATACATAAAAATTCAAATTTTTTATTGACCCCTAAATATTGTTTGATTTGCTTCAAATTATTACAGAAATTCTCTAATATTATCAGGGATTATCTTTTTCTGGATATTTCCAGAATTCCAGATATCTTTTTCAAATTTTAGTTTTTCCGGATATCCAAAATATTTTCAATACATGCAAGTTAAGGTATATATTTTTTTATATAGTAATTTTTAAGCTTTTTCACTCATCATTTAAAAAAAAATTATGAGAAGTATCACAAAAAAAAAAATTAGAAACAACTTAATTAAAAGCTAAATTAAAAAGAAAATTAGGGAAAACAAGTTCCCGATTTGTTACAGATATTTTATCCAAATCATTTTCCGGATTTTTTAAATATGACTAGGATAATCTATCTATTATATGAAACAACATAAGTCTTGTGGAGAACAAAATTTCCAAACTTCATTTTTTTGGACCACCCTAATATATATATATATATATATATATATATATATATATATATATATATATATATATATATATATATATATATATATATATATATATATTATACCAATATAAGATTTCTTAGTATGATTGACGTTTTTAAATATGACTAGGATAATCTATCTATTATATGAAACAACATAAGTCTTGTGGAGAACAAAATTTCCAAACTTCATTTTTTTGGACCACCCTAATATATATATATATATATATATATATATATATATATATATATATATATATATATATATATATATATATATATATATATATATATATATATATATTATACCAATATAAGATTTCTTAGTATGATTGACGTTAGGTGGTGATAGAGTAGCCTTATTTACAATATTTTTAGTTAAACATTGATTTTCTAAAGGACACATACTTCTATTTATACAGTTGCAGTTTCTAATATTATCTGTATTTTTATTGCGCAAAATGTGTCGGTTGTGTGACTTGATAGTAGTGCTTATATTTTGCATGCAGCTGTAATTTATTTTGACGTTGTTTCTGTTAAAAATCCTGTCAAGCTTGTGATGCGCTTGAAAATTTAAATGTAAATGAAAAGTTTTTAGTAAATTTAGATTAGAGTGATATTTGATATTGCTGCTATGTCCAGACTTTATCAGGGCTACCAGGCCTTGTGATGAATAAAAACTACGCGACGCATAAGCACAATGTGATTTTTGACGTCATTAAATTCTTTTTATTTGCTTTTCATATTTATCAACATAAACTGCACCAATTTACTTAATTACCACAAAACTACTTTAAATCATTAATGTAGAAATGTTATTATTCAAAAAAGTTTTAGAATGTTTCGTTTTTTAAAATGTAAAAACATTTGTTTATTTTTTCGACGTTTGTCACGTTTTGTCTATACTAAATGAAGCTCTTGGACGACGTAAAATTCACATCGCCTGACGCTTTATCGCAAGGCCTGGGCTACTTTGTGAATAGGAGCAGAGTTTTCAAAAAGTATTTTGCTGGAAGAGTTTGATGATAATCTTTGTTCAATAAAGGTTGGCAGCTGTTTTAAAATACTTGGTGGGTGATTAGAGCTGGCATGGATATAGTTTAACAAACTTTCAGGTTTATGGAAAAGTTTGAAGTCGCTAAAGTTCAATGTAATATGAAGGTACTTCTCTATTTTTATGTTGCATTGAATAGAACTATTAAGGCTGTTACTTTTGAATATCTGGGTTGTGTTTTTTAACTTTTTCCATTTGTGGACCGCTAGCATTTTTAATCACGGTTAACCCATCACCACTATAAAGCCCAAAATCAAACTGATGAATCAAATATTTGTGCTCGCTAATGATAGTAATATACTGTTTAGCAAAGAAAACAGAGTCTGTAAGAAGCTTTTCTTTTATAGAAGGATAAAAGTCAACCATGTCAAAAATGAGGAATTTATAAAAAATATTGTTTTTGATATTCTTGAACCATTTAATTACCTTCTGTGTGTTACTCCACTGGCTTACTCCACTGGTTTACTCCACTAGTTTACTCCACTGGTTTACTCCGCTGGTTTACGCATAAAATATTTCTTAGCTTTTAAAAGCTAAGAAATGTATGATGCATAACTTTTTTGCTCACAGCGCAATTTTTTTGAATAAATATTTTTCTACTGTTTACTAAAAAATATTAAAATGACAAATAAGTATGAAAAAGGGTTTAATGTGTTTATATACAACCCTCGGAAAAATGAGTTCGGCAATAATTTGCTGACCTCAATCTTTTACAGGTTGGCATCAGGTTGGCAAAAAAATTAGTCAATGCTTAAATCGGAGTTTGATGATGTACCTGATAAACAAAAGTGAGTGCAATGTACCTGATAAACAAAAGTGAGTGCAATGACTGCACTAAATAATGTGAAGAAAACTTGTTTTGGTTTTACATAACTTACAAATTAATGCCAACAAGCTTGTGTTGCAAGAAAATGTAACTATTATTGACATGATAACATATTATCTATCAAATAAAAGCTCCATCTGTTGTAAACACTTTAAGACTTTGAAATTTTTTATATTTAATAATCTTTGAATTACAATGATTGAAAAAAATATTTATTGATCATATAAGTAAAAATAGTGTTTTTACAAAAACAATTTTTTTTTTCTCATTAATTATTTCTCTATATTCTGATAAAAATTTTTCCTTTGTGTTATTTTCTTAAAGTAGATATCAGTTCAGTTTCAGAAAGGTTTGACATGATGCTGAGACATTTTTTTTGGCCTAAACCTACTTCCTCTAGGGTGTGATGAAATGTATGTATGTATAGTTATATTTTTGTAGTTTCAGCTTATAATTTAATTTTTATAGATAGTGTCAGAAATTTTATGAAGAAAAATAAGATGGGAAAATTCTCAGAGGCTGCAAAAGAAGCAGAAGCTCGAGAAGCAGAAATAGAGAAAGAAGAAGAGGCAAAAGGAAAAACATTTAAAATAAATGATCGTTGTGAAGTCTCAATAAAAAACTTTCCGAAACAACGAGGAGAGATCATGTATCTAGGTAAAATCAAGAGGTTATACTTAAAGTAAATAAAAAGTTAATTTTTTACAAGTTTTTAAAAATTTAAATTTGTTAATATTTTTCTTAAATATGAAGTTAATTTTTACAATTTTTATTATAATTTTTAGGTGAAGTTAAATTTAATAAGGGTTTTTGGGTTGGTGTTAAGTATGATGAGCCACTGGGCAAGCATGATGGAAGGTTTCTTTTTATATTTTTTTATTTTAACTTTAATATATATAAAGTCATAATATTAGTTAACCTATTATTTTTTATCTATTTTTAAAGATAATTATTAATTATTGGTTATTTTTTATCTATAAGTTATGTTTTTTTCAATGTCAGCACCTTTCATTAGCCAATAACAATATTAGATTAATGTTTTCTATTATGTTATAGAAACAAATTAAATTATGCTATAAAATGTAATCTAGTGCAATTCTTCCCATATAAAATATCATTATTTTTGTATTTACAAGTAATTGTTGTAGTGGTAGAGTGCTTGCTTTGTAAGAATTTCTGAATTCAAATCCCAGTATATCTTGTGCTCCTTTAAAGTATGATAGTACCATTAAATGCACTAATTATATTTTAATTGTTAATTGATTGTTTGAATAAAATCCTGCAGTTTCTTTCAGTTTCATGTTTTTTATTGTCTTTTTTTATGACGTATATAGGTTGTACAAAGTTGCATGGATAGGGCACCTTAGTACAACTTAGGGCACTTTGGTAAGACCTAGAGCACTTTGGTACAACCTATAGGTACAAATTTGTGCCTTGTTACTGATTTCAATCTTTAATATAATACTAGTTTAACTTGTTATAATTTTTCAATTAATTCGATTTTAAATTACTTGTACTAAAATGTAAATTCAAATATATTTAAAAATAAAAACAAAACAGAGGTTGTGGTTGCTTTCTCCTATATAAATAAAAACAAAACAGAGGTTGTGGTTGCTTTCTCCTATATAAATAAATTTTTTGCAGTAAAAGAGTTCTAACTATTTCACAAACACGAAGTTATGTAAAACTATTGAAATTGATGCAATAAATTCATACCAATACAATAAAAGTTACAATATTGAAGAACTTATTCATAAAAATATAAGTTTACTTAAAAAAATCCTATCTAACCAATCATATGAAATAATCACATGTAACCAATCACTTAAAATAATCTCAAAACTGATTTCTAACCACAAGCAGAATTCCTGACAGATTTTTATTTAAATCAATACTGCTAATACTACAATTTTTTTTTTAAATGTTTGTTCAAAAATATTTATATCTTCATAAGTAATATTAGTGGTCATTAATTGTGCCTCCTACAAATCTTCTGGATTCAGGAAGGTATGGAAGTCTTTATTCCTTCTTGTTGGTTTTAAGTCAAGCCTCATTCTACCACATGGTTTTCATCTTCTTGTGCAGCTGCTATATCTAATTATAATCATTTTTTTTTACAAAAACATCTTTTTATTATTACAAGAAATGTAATAAATGTTAAGCTTCAATACTCTAAGTCATTTTCTTAATTTTCAATTTGACGTTTTAACTTTAAAGTCCAATACTCCAGATAAAACAAGTGTCAAATCTCTCTTATGCTTTGTATAAACTTTGTATAGATTTCTAAAAACAGTTTATATACATTTTGAAGAGATAATTCAACTATGGGAATGAAGAGTATAAAAAACAAAAAAGTTGTTGAATTACCTTCTCAAAAAAAAAAAAGGGAATTCAAAAACAGCTACATATTACATTAGTTGTAATACTGCATTTATGGCCAACAAAAAAGTGACAATAAAAAATTCCTGATAAAAAAGTGAAAATTTATTGGTTTTAACATACTATGTGTTATCCTTAAGTGCTATCCTTAAAAAACTATAACGGATTTAAACACATACTCCTGATTGCAGATGAAATTGTGCAAGCCATAGATAATGAAAATAACTAATGAAGCGGACTCTACATCTAAAAAATTTGTTGAATTTCTGGCTTACATGTTAATTATTTTTCCTTTATCTAAATTAACCTTTTTTATAAGTTTGAATCAATTTTGTTTGAATCATTGGAAAATTGTTAGAAAGTACCAAATTATCAGTGACACTTTACTTTTTTACTAATTTTTAAACTACTTAAATGATACTTAGTATGTATCTTACTTCATTTAGAATATAAATCAACATAATTCCTTTTTCATTACAATTTATTTTTTTATAAAAAGCTTTAAAATAACAAATAAGGTAATAATCTAAATAAACCTTTTTTATAAGTTTGAATCAATTTTGTTTGAATCATTGGAAAATTGTTAGAAAGTACCAAATTATCAGTGACACTTTACTTTTTTACTAATTTTTAAACTACTTAAATGATACTTAGTATGTATCTTACTTCATTTAGAATATAAATCAACATAATTCCTTCTTCATTACAATTTATTTTTTTATAAAAAGCTTTAAAATAACAAATAAGGTAATAATCCTAATATTTTGTAATGCAACCCTTTGCTACAATAACACCTCTCAGTTGTCAGGGCATGCTTTCTATGCAGACTTATGCGTTGTCCTGGAGACCAGGGTTGTTATACCACTCTCTAATAAAGTTTTCTATCAATTGCTGCTTGGTAGTGATGATCTCTTTGGTAATTTCCGGTTTTGCAAATTCTTATAGATTTAGATACTATCTTATAGATACTAATGAATGAGAGGTAAGAATGGTTAAGAATCAGGATTTATCCATTAAAATTAGCAAAAATAATATATTAACCATAACTAATTAAATTATTAACCAATACCTTTGTATCGATATTCCTGAGCTCAAAAAATTCTATCCAACTCCAACCACACTTTTCAGCAATCAACAGCAAAATGAGCGATAAGCTAACTATTTGACAGATATGGTGAACTGAAAGTATTGTCACTATTTAAAAACTATAATAATGGTATCAGTAACTAAAATACACAAGAAAAGTTATTTAAAAACAATATATTAACTTGCAAAAATCGTTTAAACTTTAAAATTACAAAAAAAGTAAAGTCACTAATAATTTGGTTACCCTCTGTTAGAAACTGTTAAAACCAATGTTTACCAATGTTAGAAATATATATTGTTAAAACCAAATACTCTGTTAGAAAGTAAATACTGTTAAAACCAATGACAATACTCAAGTAGTAGAAATCATTTGTCTAAATAAAATATCCTGACAGTGTTAATTATACAGGCAAAGTATAGTTCAGCTAGTATTGTTCCAGAGGAGAATGTCAGATATAAATATGAAAAATTATAAATAGTATAATTATGCTAGTATGATTTGTAGCAAAATTAGGCATTAATATTTTTATTTATTAGTTTTCATACACTGTCAGAATTTCAAAAATTTAAAACAAGACCCCATCAATACACAATTCGTCACGATTTAAAAAAGAATAATACCTCCACAAAAAAACATTTGATAATCATTTTCTTTAGTATTACATTTTCATTGAAATACCAATCAAAATAAATCAAAAGAGCTTAGATTGATAATCATTTTTATTAAAATCAAAATTTTAGGATTTAAAAAATTATATACATATATATATATATATATATATATATATATATATATATATATATATATATATATATATATATATATATATATATATATATATGGCGCCATAGGGGCCCAGCCCCACCTATATTTATTTAAAATAAAGTATTTGTTAATCTAATTATGTATGTATATATATATATATATATATATATATATATATATATATATATATATATATATATATATATATATATATATATTCAAACAAGTTTTATAAAAATAAATAGTTCTAAATGGGTTTTAATTTTAAATTCTGTTAATTTACAATTTATTTAAAGTATTGTAGCGTTATTTGATTTCATTGCCGTTAAAATTGAAAGTTAAAAAGCCGTTAACGGCTGGGCTGATTTTAACTGGCCCTATTTAATTTGTGTACGGTATAATAACTTTTGATGCGCGTGCAGAACTTGTTGTGCTTTCAGATGGGACAAAAAAACTCACCGCAGGGCCTTATTGAACTGGCCCGAGAAGAAAAGAAGCGTATCATACGTAAATATATCACTAATTTTAAAAATTTCATCCAAATTTTTAATTCTCGATTTAAAAAGTGAAGAGTTTACTGCTGCAAAAAGTCAGAAGTTGTTTTGACTCAATAAGGTATAGTAATAATATAAAACTTTATAACATTAAAGTGTAAACATTTTATTTTTTAAAATGTTGTAAACATACATTTGTTAATATTGCAATTTCACTGTAAATATTAATAGTGTTAATATTGTAATATTAGCAGTGTTAATATTGGTTTCTTAACATAGATATATAAATAAAAAATTTGCCAATTAGATATTAGGAGTACAAATTATTAGGAATAGGAACATGGCAGTAATATGATGTTTAAAATAATGTAACAGAAATTACTTGTATAAATGTTTGTCAGACAAACATTTAAAGAGATACAGCTAAGAAAAAGAAATTTTTATTAATTTTCATAAAATAGGTTTTCTAGGACAAGTTATTTTATTCTATAATTATAAACAGGAATACTTATGGTAAAAGTTATAAGCTTAGAAATTCTAAGGAAATAGAACAATTTGGAAAAATATCATAGAGAAATTTGACATTTTTAAAAAAATCAATTTTGTACATTTTATAATATTTGCTCGTGAACTGTATTTTTTAGGTATATATTGTTTTATTTTTAAAAAAACTTAAATATTTGTTTCTTTACAGGAAAAAGTAGTGGCTCAGCAATATTAATGATCTTGATTTGTGTATTAATCGAACAAATGTATGGCAATGTTTGGCAAGTTTATATATTGTGACACGAGAAAGCTTAGCCATTTCTACCAATATAATAAGAGTTAAAAACTGTTTGTACTTTCAAAATTCTTGTTCTATTCTCAATGAGGGATTGCTGAAGTATATTTTTTCCAATTAGCTTATGCATTATATTCTGTGGCATAATGAATCATTCACTAAAAAGTGTTTACATTGTTTGATGGTTGTTAGGTTATACTACCTTTTTAGTTACCAATTAGATTGATACTGAACCAGAGCCAATTTCAACCATGATGATAAGCAACACAAGTTTTGAAGACAACAGCAAAAATAAAGTAACTTTAAGTGCAACTGGATAAGTAAAGATTAGAATTGGTCAATATTATTATTA